GTGCCTGGCGCTGCGCGGCGTCCTGCGCGACCAGCGCTGGGCAAGGCGGCGAGCGCCGCTTCCTCCGCCCTCGCCTCCTTTTACTTGCGGTTTGGCCTGGTTGGATGTGAAGTTATCCGGCAGGCATACTGCGTGCCGTGTGTGTGCAGATGTGTGTGTGTGTGGGGGGGTGCTAGGCGCCGTCGAGCGCCGCTTCCTCCGCCCTCGCCTCCTTTTACTTGCGGTTTGGCCTGGTTGGATGTGAAGTTATCCGGCAGGCATACTGCGTGCCGTGTGTGTGCAGATGTGTGTGTGTGTGGGGGGGTGCTAGGCGCGCGAACCCCTGTTATCTCCCTAATTTGGCTCTGTTTAAGAGGTATGCGTGTGTTGTGAGCTTCAGTCATATAAACAAATTTTAGTATAGATTAACAACACGTTGTGCCCTGCAGTAAAGACCGAGGTCTTATTTATTTGGGTACAGCCTGATTTAAATTGTATATGAGCGTTTCTCGGCACGTAGGAGGAATGTGTATTTGGAGGGCTTTTTTCTTCTGCACTCTCCATATAGCTTGATACGCTTAGATACAAAGTATTTCATCGAGTTAGCTTGTAACCAGTATACAAATACTGATTTTTATGATGGAAAACACAAATCCCAGATGCAGTATGTGTCCTTCCAGAAGCCAGGAAACTGGAAATAAAAATGCCCTTGGAATGTGTATGCTTTTATGTTTACATAAGCCTATGCCAAAACTAAGCATTCAATGTAAATATTGTTCAGAAAAGCATATCACTTATACTTGTATGTTTATATTTGCCTCTCTATGTCTTCCCCCTTCTTTATTTTTTTTCTCTCTGAATGAAATTGCAAATCTGCTGATGTTGTGGGAAATGCAGTTACAAGCCAAATAAGATTTTTTTTTTTTTAATGACTTAAGAATTTGACTATATGACTTCTAAGATCTGGAATATTTATTGCTCGTTTAAGTAGTCACACTGTTCCGTCTCACTAAGAGTAGGCTTCAGAAGCCTGAACAGCTGGGTGATGCACAGATGATCTTTCTCTTCCATAGGTATGAAAATTACCAGCACATTCATTGACAAGATTTTCTTGTGATAGTGAGTTGGGTGACTTTTTTGGTCTGACCTTGTCCTAAAACATGACTAAATGGCCTGATCTTTACTGTGGCAAAACTGCCTTTGACTTAAGTAGATGTTTTGCCTGAGTAAGAACTGCTGCAAAAGTTGGCCTATTATCTCTAGTTACAAAACCTTTAGTGGTTTCAATGCATCTTAGTGTGTTTTACCAGTAATTGATTGTGTGCTAATATATATAATCTCAAAACACCATTTCTAAGAAATTTTAACAGTGTATGTAGTTAGATATTTTTATAATGTAATTAAAACATTAATTTAAGGTAAATTATGACTTAGTTAAAATACTGAAGGAAAGAACAAATCATAACATGCATGTGGCTTAGGTGTCTGTTTATTCAGCTCACCTGGTAACTGTTGGCCTTTTATGTGAGTGCTTCACAGAAAACATGCAGATTTATTTAACCAGTTTATTCTTTTCTTAAATATTGAAATCCTGTTAAAGTCTTTAAAATAGCACCTGTAGAGAGTAATACACAGTAAACTAATTCTTAATAGGACTATTCTTTACTGTAGGCACTTTTGCATTGTCTTCCTGTGCATGCTTTTATCCTTACTCTTAGGAAACCCACAAGAAGACAATTGGTAATAATAACAGAGAGAAAAGGTTGTGTTCCAAGTTCATTCAGTAGCTAAAACTATTGTTTTTTCATTGTAGAACATTATTCATATCTTCTTGAGATAAGCAACTGAAATAGGCTTGCAGTGTTAAAAATAATAAATAATAATAATTAAAAAGAAAAAAATCAATACTCTGCAAGCACCTATGGAAATAGCTGGTGAGCCTTAATATTTCAGAGGGGAAAACCAAAGGCTCTGAATTTGATGAGTTATAACCTGTGAAAATAACTTTTTATTTTTTAAGTTAAAATATCATATGGAAGCATATTTGGAGAGGAAATAATACTTTTAGCATATGGATGTAGGCTCTGGATTTGAATAGTAATTATTTTACTGTTTGAGAATGTGGTGTGTGTTTGTTTTTTTTTTTTTTTTTTAACTGCAGAGCTAGTTGTATGCATCAGTCTAAACCAAACAAAAAACACCCTAAACCCTGTCAATTTGCTGGTGCGTGACAGGAGATGTCTCCTTTTAACAACAGTTATGGGCTGGCTCTGAAAATCCTGGCTAAGCACTGTTATGTAACCAGTAGTGGAATGGGCTTGAGGAGGTTACAGATATAGCAGTTTCATGAACATTGCTTATGACTGTAAGCAGCCTACTAGGTGGGTTGCTGTATGGGGTTTTTGTTGTTGTTTTGGGTTTTTTATGTTTGAAAGAATCAAATATACCACAAAGTGGGACGTTTCTACAGGTGAGGACTTTTTCTACTGTTTATTGAATCTTCTGAATTATTTTTGAACTGATTTGAATCAAAAGTAAAGCATCCTTTTTGGAGGAGGAGAGGAAAAAATGTCTCAGGAGCCCCTAATCCTCATAAGCTCTTGGCCTTCTCCCTCCTCTATTGTGCAACTCTTGCACAGTTACATTCAGTAGCTTATTGAGCGAAATTTAAATACAAACAGCTCTGAGACTGCTGTGCAATGAGCAGCATAAAAAAGAAATTCACATCCATGTGCAATGTTATTTCTTTAGAAGCTAATTAACTCTTGTTTAAAGTTGACAATACTATATTTTTTTGGAGTTACAGGGCAGAAAAAAAGATCCTGTAGGTGAATCCAAAGGATGCAGTTCCAGCTTGAGCAATACCTTTCTGATTTGCTTTTGCTCTATCCTTAAGGTAGTCCACATGTTATGATGCAAATTAGATGACTCACCTTTAGTCTGTGGATGTTGTCGATCCTGTAGAGGGACAAAGCTTTAAATAGTTCTATTGACTGAAAATAAGATAACCTGTATGTTTAAAGAGTTGCAGGATCAAGGCTCAGGTCAATCTAATGTTACAGAAAATGCTGACTTGACAGATTTACAGAATGAAATTCCTTGCTTTGTTGTCAGTGGTATGATACAGCCTTCACCTGGGCAGGCACCTTCATTTTACTCTGCTTATGAGGTCTTGTTCTCCTTCAAGATGGAGAAGGTTACTCCTTATTCACACTACTACTAACGCCTGAGATTTGACAGTTGCAGTATGGTTTGGTTGTTCTTGTGAAGGTGGGGATACCTGTCCAGGAAAAAGTGGACTGAGAATACAAGCTCATTCCTCAGAGGTCACAGAACAGCTGTCTAATGTCAACACCTTTTG